TGGAATGTTTTTAGGAAAATGGGAATCTAGAACATCTCATTGGGTCCTCATATAAAATCTGTACACAGGACAGGAAGCCACAGTCCAGACGGAACATGATGAAATAGACTGGCTCCAAGTCAGCAAAGAAATCAGACAAGGCTGCATACTCTCTCCTTATTTATTCAATCTGTATGCTGAATATATATTGAGGAGGCTGGATTGGCAAAAGATGTGGTTTTCAAACTGAAGGAAGAAACATCAATAACCTGCGATATGCTGATGACACTACCCTGATAGCTGAAAATGCAACAGACCTGCAAACTCAAGTAATAAAAGTCAAGGAGCAGCCAAAAAATGGGGCTAAGTTTAAATATAAGGAAGACAAAAATAATGACAACAGATACAGCAACCAGCCTTCAAACTGACAATGAAGGCAGTGCAGACAATGAAGCTGTTGGGATCATCTATCAACACAAAAGGAAGTCAAGAAATACACCACAGACCAGCACCTGGTAGGATAGCAATGAAGGCCATGGAAAAAAATATTCAGATGCTATGATGTATCTATGTCCATAAAGATCAGAATAATTCAGGCAATGGTTTTTCTTGTGACACACTATGAATGTGAAGGTTGGACTTTGAAGCAGCATAATAGAAAGAGTATTTATGCTTTTGAACTTTGGTGTTGGAGACGACTGCTGAGAATATCATGGATAGCCAAGGAAAAAAAAAACAGATCACAGAAGAAATCAATGCTGAGTTCTCACTTGAGGCACAAATTATCATTCTCAAATTATAATATTTTGGACACATTATGTGATGACCTAACTCTCTTGAAAAATCTATAATGCTGGGAAAGGTGGAAGGAAAAGAAGAGGATGACCAAAGTGGATGGACTCAAGTACTATGGCAATGCAAGTACCATTAGAAGACCTGAAGGGCCAGGTTTGGGACAGGTCATCTTGGAGAAGGTCTGTGTAGTTGCTAAGAGTTGACACTGACTTAATGGCACATCATCAGTCACAATCAATCAGTGCTTTATAAGCAGTATCCATTTAAGTCTTCCATTTATATGTGGTATTTATCTGTTTCTTTAGATGTGTGGGGGAGGGATCCTGACTAGCCTACTCTCTGTCTCTTGAATAGACCATTAATGAGAAGCAGTTTTGGTAGGTACTGAGAAGATCTGGGGTTTAACAATGGTTTCTAAGACTCAAACAAGTTATTTTTACTCAGATAACATTTCTACATCAAAACTAGCACTGGGGTCTCTTCTGAGTCCTGAAGACTTTGCTTTGAAATCTCCAACTTATTATATAGAGTGCTCTGCTTAGCTTTTATATGAAATAAAAGCAAGCCCATCAACTCTATCTGCTGCTGTCCAGTTAACAACACAAGCCTAAAACTGAGAAGGGAGGAAAGTTCCATTGAGCAGTTGAATTTCTTCTAGATATTGCTGAATTTCAGTTGTCAGGAGTCTGAGTTAAGTTGATCAGTAGTGAAAGATGCAGGGAGTTGTAATTTAATAACAACTGGAGGATCAGAGAGTCCTTACTCCTATCCACAGAGGATGGATGGGATACAAGTAAGCTGTAGAAACAAACACTCCAGCTTTGCAACTATAATGTGCAACACAGGACTTACAGCAGGCCCCAGCCCGATACTGTGCACGCTAACATTAGCCATGGAACAGGTTTAAAGTACTGTATGGAGCAAACCATTACTTCTCTGTAAGGATCATTGCCATAAAGGCATGCTGTCAACACTCCCAATTTGATATTCCAGTAAAAGAAAATAGAACCTGCCTTGACTTGGCCCAGCACTTAAGGTTTTTTTTGTTTTTTAAGATACAATATTTATCAATGTAATATAACTCTCCTGAACTGGTGCACCCCTCTATATGTGAACCTAACCCCCCCCCCCACCCCTCATGTATGTGAGATGGGTGGCTATATAAATGTAACAAATAAATAAAATAAAAAAGGAGGGAAAGGAAAGCTAGACAT